CCCCAATCCTGGTATCTACTTGATGTGTGTTGTCCATCTGTACAGAAAAACCCAGGGCAGCTAAAACTCCCATGTGGGTGCTATGAAATGACCAGTTGAAGTTAACAGTGTGACGCCAGCTGCTGAGCCCAGCACTTCTGACTTTGTGTAGCTAAACGACCTCACTAGAGCATGTAGCAAAGCAAATATTTGTCCAGGTCCCATTGCAGAAAGCTGGTAATGATTTATAAGGCAAGGGTCTCGGCAGGGGAGCTTATTCAGTGTGCAGTGCTCAGAATGCGTCAGGGTAGTTCCCTGGGCTTGGGCAGGAGCCAGGTCTTGGCTGCGCAATCCAGCTGGAAAATAGTTTTCCAACAAGCATAACCTTGGGCTTGACAGGAACCGCACCAAAGTGCTGGTGTTCAGTCTCCAAATGGCAGAGCATGGTTGACATGGCTACCTAACCTCAGTGGTTGGGTTGACATGGGGGAGCAGCAAGTCTGTTAGGATTTCACAGAGAACTGGATTCCTATTGCAGGGCCCCCTGCTACTCTGCTCCTGAGCTTGCTGCCTTCTGCCAGTGAGTTGGGTGGACACTGGGGGAAGGGATGAAGCAGTCACTGCTGTCAAGACTCTTCTATGGTGCCCATCAGCATTACCTTGTGGGTTCCTTTGTCTCTGAGGGCTTCCAAGACTCCCTAGGCTGTGGCCTCTTAGGTCAAGCAGGGAGTGGTGTGTCCTTCTCAGGCTCTTGGGACCCTCTGCTTAGCAATGCCTGTGGCACCAGCACCCTTTGCTTCAGCTTCTTTGTCTTTTCTGGGACACTCACTTCCTATTGTGCCCCTGGCAAGATAGTTCTACTGAGGACTTGGGCATCTCTGTGGACAGTGCTTCCCCTTCTCCCCTTCTGTCCATCTCTGCAGAGGTTCACCAGGGCAGAGTTTCAGGCTGTAACCCTGAATGCTGGATGTTAATAACCACAGGTTGGGTAGTAAGCAAAAGTAATGTGCCTTCTAGCTGTAAGTGAATGAGACAGGAAGCTGATATTGGGTGCTACAGAGCAACAG